AAAAAAGCAAAGCCACTTACTAAAGACACTCTTTGTGTTTGTATTTGTATGTGCTTTGAATCACCTGTGAGAGGACTTGAAGACTGAACAATCCAGGGATACTGTCAAACACTGCTTATTAAAATGCTAGCATGCTGACATCTGAAAGGCTGATACTCACAATAAGGCTATAGACTATTCTTTTAACCAATTTTGTGAGACTGTTGGTCTTAGCCTTAAAAATCAACTTAGACCTACAAGCTAGCAAAATCCTTAAAAATAAAAAGATTTTTTAATCCCAGTCAAGCAAATGATTTATTAAAATCTATAAATACTGTTACTTTACATACATATGTGCATGTAACAAGCAACTAAAACACCTCCTGCAAACTCTGAAAACAAATATCCTTGTCACTATGTCTATCACATGCTTACACCCTGTCTCTCACCTTGCAAAATGTTTTTTTATTATATCATTTTAAAAGCTTTTCCAGTGAGAGTCAAAGGAGACAAAACTACCTTTGTGTTCACAACAGGCACTGAGACAACATTTAAGAAATGTTTTTCCAGAAACTGGACTGCTGGAATTAAGAATTAAAACAGGACAACAAAGACCAAAACCAAACAGCTTCAGTTAGCTGAAGATCAGTTAATCTCAGAGCATAAGCCATAGAACAGTTTATCATTACCTACCACTTACACTTCTCTCTCATTTTGTATTATATTATTTAGGTAGTGCACATGCACTTTTTTTAAATAAAAGTTTTTTAGCATCAGAGGGGAACTACTCTTCACTGCTCTGCCCAAAAAGTGATTGGGCAGCAGTTTTAGCTGCCACAGACTGCAATTTTAGAAGTATCATACTGTATTTTTCAAAACATACTGAGCATCTTTGATTAGGGAAGTGAAACCAGTTCAACTGACTCAACTGTTTCCACCCTTGACTGTAAACTGGTGGCATTTTCAGGCCTGTTTTCATTTCAGATTTGTGAAAGGTGTGGTAAAGAACCAAAACAACAGCACCAAGCAACCAAATAGAAGTGCAAGGCTGAAGTATGTTCCTGTGAACCAGTTCAGCTGAGGACATCTTTCAGATACAGGAGATAGCTGGGTTTAAAGGAAATGTGCACATATCACTTCACAGAAGATTATTTTAAGGCTTCCAAAACTTGCTGAGGAAGCAGGAAGAAGAAACGCCAGTGGGAGAAGGATATGGGCTATGTATAACTGCCTCATGCTTTCTTCCAGATTTATTCAAATGCTGTGTGTACCTAAGGGTAGTTGAAAATTGGACCTCAAGACCAAAAACTGAGAGGCATTTTTTCCTGTTTAGGGGTCCAGTTTGTGGAATGATCATATGCCATCTTATGACACCACCTTGAAAGAGGCTTGGTTTTTTGTGTGTGTTTTTGGGGGTTTTGCAGGGTATATGGGCTGTGTATTTTTGCAGGTTTTTGGTTTTTTTTATTGTTTCCATGTATCTGTGTTTTTTGGTTAGGGCTCTTTTTTGTTTGGTAGGTTTGTTATGGGTTTGTTTTGTTGGGTTTTTTTACACATATATTCAAGTATAACAATATTTCACAGTAGAAATACAGACTTTGGTGGTTTGAAGTGATATAAAAACAAACCCTTATTTTATTACAAACACAAATTACAAATTAATTAAATAAATTTATTCAAGTCTAAAGCAAAGTTGAGTATAAACAAGACAGCAATAATGCTTATGTCATTATGTAAACCAAGTATATTACTAATAACGTACATTCATTTAATACAGAATTTCCATTGGCATTTTCTAATGCAATTTCACCTATTACCTTATAGTGTGGTACCATCACATTAACACCAGATGAAGCATTAATTCTTATTTGTTTTCCAGTTAACATCTATGTCTTTACAATATGGTTTGCAAGAACATGAACCACATTGCTCTCAAGTTAGCATCTTGGGGCATTTGTAAACTTAATGAATGTAAAGAATGAGGCAGAAAATAAGTAAACGTGAATTTCTATTTTTTTCCCCCTGATAATACAAAAAAGAGTGTTAAGTGACTATTTTCTTTCCAGACCAGCCTTCAGAAAACAACAACCTGTCTTCCAGTACCAAAAAAGTTCCCATTTAATAGTGTATAGCTATACATGAGGGTCAGGCTGAAATGAAAATATCTTTAAAAACACAGAATTGAACTATAATAGGAAAAAATGGGTTAATATAGAACTATTTAAGACTTTTTTTTTTTACTATTTTTCGCCTTTCAAGATTCCTGAGCTACTTTCATTCCACTAAAGAATTCAAAACCCTTTTAAAACAAAGTGAAAACGTGTGCATTTCCAAATGCTAAAGCAAATAAAATCCTAGCAGAGGAGAAAGACATTCAGCACTAGAGATAACTACAGCTGTCACAGGGCTAAAAAAAAATATAAAAAATTATGTTCAGTGATTTATTATTGTTTCTGGCCAACCTAGATCAAGATCCAAGAATGCTGAGTCCTACTTCGTGTCATGGATCAAAGGTAATGACGCAGCCAAGGCAGATTGTGCGTAGGCATCACTGTGAAGCTGAAAGCTATACATCTTGAGACTAAATTCACTTTTCCATATCCAGAGCAAAAGCACTGCTCTTTCTAGACCAAAAATGAGGTCTCTTTCGGAAATAAAGCACTGATTATCCTCTCTGGAACTGAACTGTCAAACAACCTTATATAACCTCATTTAAACAGGACAGCAAATACAGACAAATTCTTTAGACACAAACCTACTTTTTATCATGACATTATTTAGTCATTCCAACTTCTATTTACAAGTAAAAAGGAGAAACCAGGACTAAGAAAAGAAGTATCTGATCTGTTACAAAAACTAATCCCCCTACTGCCTCACTGGACTATAAACTCTGCAATGAAACAAAATTTTACCATGTTCTCAAGTGTATGAAAGTTAATTTTATTTTAAAACTTCACCATACCAGCCTCAATTTATACTGTTGGAAGATGAAAAGATATTCAATAAACTAACCACTGAATAACATGTAATAATTAGCTGTCAGTATTAAATAGGGAATTGGTGTCTTAATTACATAGGCCATAGGAAAGGTAGCTAAGGATCTCAGAATTCCCATTCATTAATGCCTAGTTAGCTGGGTAATAATATTAGCCACGATGATAACTCTGAGAAAGTCTCAAGTGTAATCAGTCAGAAAGAAGGTAATGCATGGAAAAGATTAGAAAAGCTGACAAGTTGATCTGGCTGAGGTATGAGCTATCAGCACCTGGAGTCAGTTAATAAGATCCTTGTTTCATTATCCCATCAGTGGAAGCTGAAGTTGGAAGTAAAATAACAGGCAGTAACTGAGCCAGTGCACTGTCAGAACAGAGCAGGAGCACGTGTTTTTGCAGGACTGTTTCAGTAGTGTTGCCAGGAATTCATCACAAGCAATAACACAAGAGATGCAATTACTAGATGTATTTCCTGTGAAATTCCATCCACTAGAATCCAGCAGGAATTTAAAAAAAACAAAATGAGCTACTCAGTAGCTTCTCCTTAAAATGACCAAGTACATTCCTACAGAGTTTTAAAAGGATGCAGTGCAATTTGAGCAATGCTTTCACTGACTCATTATATGGCTAGATAGTCCCATAAAAGTTGATAAATGCATGTCTCTCGCAAATACAACCATGTTAATGGTGCCTTAAAATCTGATTACTTAGTAGTTTGAGGTTTATGATAGTTCAGATGTTGAGCTACTACTTTAAAGCTGAACATACTTTTGTTTGTTTGCTTCTTTCTTTAAGATTAGTGTATTTTTTTTGTTGTTTTTCTGTTGAAAACTAGGGAAATCCAGTGCTGCTGTTTTCCTACTCTTCATGTTGTAGAATGCCTGTACCTAAAGCAGGAGCAATGTTTTCTACAGAAGATAGTGAAAGCAACTAAGGAAAGTTAATTTCCTCTCAACTGACCATACACATTTGCAGGATGTATGTCTAGTCTAACTGCAGCTCTCAAACTTCAGTTCATGAAATATCTGTACCACAGACTCTGCATGCCTGCACAGGCACATAGGAAAGTGGGACAATGGATGGGACAGGCTGACCCACTGCCATCTTGCCTTCTCACAATATCTGACATATCAGGATGCTTTTAAGGTCTCTTTCCTCCTGTCCACTCTGAAAAGAAGAAGATTTCAAAGACAAAAGTGCTCTGAACCTTTTACTTCAAACTGGTCACAGAAAATAGTCTAATAATAAACAAAGCATACAGATATTAGATAGATCAATACAGAACTCAGCATTTATATTTAATTTCTTTACAGACACACACACCCAGAACAGAAAGGCACAAACAAGTGCAAATACCAAAGCAGAGACTACCTACCTTCAATGTACAGGGGCTCAACGACATCATGATTTATCAGTTCGAAGTTCTCATGACCAATCCAGTGCTCCACATTTCTTTTCCTGCCCGTAAAGAAGTTGTCCACAACTGTAACCTCATGGCCATCCATCATTAGTTTGTCAGTAAGATGAGAACCCACAAACCCTGCTCCTCCAGTTATCTGCGTTAGGACAGTTGGTATAAATTTTTTTTTCTTTTTAGAGAGACACTAGACAAAGTCTACAAACATAAAGACAGAACAGTAGGTTTCAGATCTTTGCTTACTCCAGGGGAAGCAACTCCATTTCAATGTATGCTTTTTTTTCCAAGATTTACAGCTTAAAATTTCGAGAGACATATTTGACATGTTTCATCACTGTCAGACTAGAAGGTCAGCTACCTATTCATATCAGCAAAATCTCTTTTTCAGATTACATTATTTTCCTCTTTTTCCTTCAAATTGGATTGTGCTTTTTTTTGTGACAGCCGTGTCTAAAAAGATGCAGAAAGGTAACAGGAGAAAGTTCTGCAAATCCCATTTCTCAGGAAATAAAAAAAAGGTATAACAGAATGCCAGGTCATTTTCATGTCAAATTTATCAGACATGTCAGATGCAGCTTCTGTCTGGATTACATGGAAGACATGCTGGGTGTTCTAAGTAAATACTGTAAGTGTGCACCCACAAAGGAGAAAGGGAATTCTCTGAAGACCTTTCATTTAAAGTATCTGCTAAAACCAAAATCATTCTTTCTGTATTTTAATGCATCCATAGCTTATATTGTCCTGGCCTGAAGAGGTCAGTCAGTTGGACTGGATGAACTTTGCAGGTCCCTTACAACTGAAAAAACTCTATTCTATACCATTAGCTCTGACATGCAGCATTTGCCTGTCTTCAAACTCTGATGTTCTGCTGCAAAGAAGCAAGCAGAAATAAAATATTTAAAACCCTGTAGTCCTGTTTCATTGAAGAAACAAGAAATTTTCCCCTTTTTGTACCACAGACTTTAACAGTAAACAAGCAAACAAAAATGACTAATTCAGTACTGAAGCAGTCAGCACAATAAGCAGAACTGCAAATTCTGTGACACACCCAGACCTGTCTACAGAAGCAATTATTTTCTCTGCATTTCATGAACTGGTTTCAAGAACCAATACACAACAGATCACAACACTCAAAAAGCAGACTTGTAAAAGACCTATGTATCAGCTATATATCTGCATGGTCAAATTCATATTTTGAAAGTGATTCAGCTGTTGATGTCCATTCCTCAGCTGTAGTGACAACTAAATAAACAATGAAAGGACAAAGTGGAATCAAGCAGGAATCTAATGAACAGATGGTGTACTGCAATGACAAAGTGCTGTGTGGCAAAGGATGAGTTGCCCGAAGCTCTTTTACTTTGGGTTAGTCATAGGCTAAACATTTACCCTGTCCACTACCCCTGCCCTCCAATGTATTAAAAAACCAGAATTAGCAGATTTTTTTTTTTTTTAACTAGAAAAACTAGGGTTTTTTTTAACAAGAAAAAAAAAAAGGAAAACCTCCAAAGATTGAAAAGGGAAAGAACCATACAAAAACTACATCTGTTTTATTTTGTAAAAACTTGAATGTCCATTTCTTGCATTCTCATCCTTTTTCTTATTGAAAATTCAGGGGAACCAGTGTGTCAAAACAACTGTAAGTAGCAGTTAATAAAAGAATCATTTAGTTGCTCTATTTAGCATTCTTCTGAGTTTGTCAGGGCTTCTGAACCTGAAGGAGAAACAGGATTTAAGTGAAAGCCCCTCTGGAATAAAAGAAAGAATCTCAAGGCTCATGTTATACTGCAACAGAGAGGAGGGAAGGGCAGGTTTCTGGCAGAATGCTGAAAATGAGGAGAGAATAGCAGTAACTGAGGGAGAGCAGCCCTTTCCCATGTGTCACCACTTATCAGAGGGAAAAAAGCAAACTCATGCACGGCAAACCTAGTGCCATGAGTTTATCCTGGCTTGCAAGCAAGCTGCAGCCCTGTTGAATGTTCCAAGGGTTTTGGTTTTGCTGTGGTGACCAGGACAAGACCTTTCTATAGCAGACCTGAACCTACTCCTTCAACAGAGGCCCAAGGAAATCTCCTGTTGCTATTTTTATTTCCAAGATTCTAGAGAATGTAAGTTCAATGCTTGCAATATATTGAACTTTACTTTGGTGCAGTAAAATGAAATGTCTTCTTCCCATATCTCTTATGAAAAAAACCATCACAAAGCCAACAGACAAAATAGACAAAAAGTTTAAAAAACAAAGGAAAAAAGCACATAGACACAAAGAAGAAAAAAAGCATCAAAAAAGGTAAAAAAAAGCACAAACCAATTCTGTCGGGAAAGGAGTTTCCAATTATCTTAAATCTACAAATAGTTTTTAAGATGAATTTAAGTTTGCTGTATTAATGTATCACTTCCATGGGTATTAGACAAAGAACTTAAGAAATTATTGAAAAAGGAGTTGAACTTCCCCTGGAAAAGTAAAAATAAATATGTAAATTATGCTTTTTATCATTACTTGAGACAACATTAAAAAAAAAAAAGATGATTTATCATTGAAGTTCTTTGTACAACCTTCCTGTAATTACTCATAAAAGCATCACTTCTAAATATGACTTCCTGTAAATCACAGTGACATATTAATCTACATAATCATAAGTTGTACATGAATCATATTCATATCAGAACTGAAGCACCAGCACTTGGGTCTTAAAAAGGAATTCTTTATTAAGACAACATTAATGAAAATCTTTAATTACTTAGTAGTGCATGTATGCTTGGTAACTTCAGCATCTACAAAAAGGCACAAATATTACAGATAATTATCTTCACTAGAGGCACTTACAAATTTGTCTATTACATATTTCTGCTGTCTACAATCAGATTCAAAACATCTTATGCCCCATAATGAAATTATATTAATTTTGTTTTCTGCTTTTATCAATTTACTTTCAATTCAGAATAAACCCACACAATAGACTGAACCAATGACAACACAATCTTCTACAACAACAATTCCCTCTCTTGCATATGAAAGCCTGTGGCCTAGTCACTTCAGAGAACTCGGGAAATAGATAAATCATGCACAACAAGGTGAAGATCTCTTTTCAATGAAAGTGACAGAATATCTGGTCTCAGCTGAGATACCACCACTACTAAAAATCATCTCCAAAGAGATGCTGTTTAGCAAAAAGTATCTGCTAGAACTGTTGTCTCATCAGGAGAGTGCTGTGAGGATCTCCAGGCTGGAGCTGGAGACTGCAGTCAGAATAAAAAAAAAGTTAAATCAAATTAAGAATGCATTCTAGAAAAAGACACAGTATTAACAAAATGCAAAGCAAAAATACATGATCTAGTAAAATTCACTTGGCTGGCCAATTCTTGAGAATTTTGAAGCGTCATGCAATATTTTTTTGGGAACTTCAGCTATTCAAAAGAACATGAATTATTTCCCCTAGGATTATGACAGCAACACCATAACATGAGGAGGAGGCCTATGAATGCCCATCTGAGTTGGCACAAAACTAGTCAGAACCTGACACTCCTTTTGGCCAGCTTTCTCTGTAGTCATTTAACCTCTACAAAATACATAGGGAACCAAAAAGCTATTCACCTCCATCTCAGCTGAAAACACTCCTATTCCAACTATGTTCCATTTCTGTTGAAGCAACAGATTTCAACAAAATATCCAGTATTTTTCAGCAGCAAAGTCTGGAAGTGAACATTAAGAGCTCCACAGCCTGTTAACAGCTTTCACTGACACTTTGTTGGAAGTACATTCTCACACAGAAAACATGACATTAAGGTTACTTCATACCCTTGCAAACACACATGAAGTACACAATTTAGGAATTTTCAAAATTAAACCTTTATCTTCTCTCAGTTTATTTTCTATATTCAACAGGGGCACTGGGAGCCTACAGGTCATAAAAATGACAGAACACCATTGCAGAACTAAACTAATTTGGTAACACTTTTTGGAATTTTGCAATAGCAATGAAGATTATTGCCTAACAATGCAGTAAAATAATTTTATCTGCATCTTTTCAGTTTTTTTGCTCAGGATTTTTAAGTCAAACAAAAGCACCAGCCAAGTTAGGTACGTTAGCAGGGTTTTGTTGTAGACTTTACTTTCTACTACAGAAGAAGTAGTTCATACTCTTATTTTACACATCTCAAGTAGCTATACTTTGTCTGCCTTCAAAACACAGGGACAATTTCCCCCTCACCCCCCACAAAAAAAATAAACAAGGAAAAAATGTAGGTCACAGATAACATCAAGAAGTGTTTGCAGGGTCATTTCCAGCACAATTCACTAAGTTTAAGAATGCCCCGCAACTTCTTTCCTAGCTTTATGGCTAGATTTTGTCCAGTTTGGTGTCACAAGGCTCCCATCAAGATGTGCTTAGAAAGTTTCCTAGTCTCTGCAAGTTTAAGCCATCTGGGAGCACACACAAAGACTCCTTGGTAATGTGATCCTGAGAAGTTAAAGGGAAGAGCAGTTTAGTTGACAAGTCCAACTTCAAAACCAGAGTCCAAGTGTATTGCTCGTATGCTGAGTTTGAGAACATCAACACAAATAAGCGAAGCAGCGCCTTAAAACCTGTGCAACACATATGACATCCAAGGTAATTCCCTTCATCCCTTCTCATGTCTTTAATCCTACAAAATAGATTACATTACACAGAATTTTTTGGCATTTCCCCAAAACAACCTCTGAGTAAAGGAACTTACCAGGATTCTTTTACGATCCTTTTCTGATAAAAATTTCACTGGTGGGTATTTCTGGGTGAAACTACAGAACATTTCAAAACAAAGAAGAAAATCTAAATAAGTTTCAGCCTCGTTTCTTTCACATACATCTTTGATATGTGAGAAACTACTGTGAAAATCTTCCATTCTGGAAGTTCTGCTAAGACTATATTTAGTCCTTTAGTCTAAAAAACAATCTGGGTCAACTGGCAATACAAGACAATGCCTATGCATGATGAAGTATCAAAATTCATCTGCAAAGACTGCTTTCAAAATTTCTGCCTGATTTTAAATAATACATCATTTGACTTTTATCTTTTGAGAGCAGAACTACTGCCAGGCATGACATCACAAGAGAATAAAACAGTAAAACATAAGCAGTGACTGGACACCTTCTTTTTAAAGTTATAGAAGACAAACTACCCTCTTAAAAGCTCCTGAAAACAAAGAAAATTTTGTTGACTTACCGCATTGACTTCAAACACTTCTCCTTGAAATTTCAATGTGAAACTTACAACAAAAAGTCTTAATTCTCCTTAAAGTTTTACAAAAACCAATATAAACTATATATACAAATATAAACATATAAACAAATATAAAATATTTACAGTCAGAATGTTGAAAACACACATTTTAAGATATTTCAACAATTACTACCACAGAACTTGTTCAGTATGACAACTAATCTTAATTTTCTTAGACATACTAGATTGCCATTTATTTGATGGTCTTCAAGCTAGGAATTCAATTTTTGTGCCTTCTTTACAAGAACTTAATCACACCAAAAACACCATAAAGTAAAATTATGTGACATATGAATCTTAAGTGCTCTCTCAAGCTCTTGATGTTTCAAGCCTTAGAAGAACTTCTCTCCCACCCTGTTATGCATTCTGCATAGAGCAACAAAGTCCTCTGTTAGAAGGTGTGAATTTATTTATTCATTCAAGTAATTAGCCTCATATTTTTGGCAATTTAATAGTTCAGTTTTTTCCTTAACTAAATATCACCATGACACTGCACAAAAATTAAACTATGGTTACTCTTCTCCTCCAATAAGTCCACAGGCTAGAGTTAGCCTGGTGTAGCATGAGGAGCCAAAAATGCCAAGTTACATTTTCTTCTACTCACTAACAACTGCTGATTGAATTGACCCTACAACTGTGATCTTGGAGCACCTCCTCCTCTGCTTCTAACCTGCAGTACTGGCTCAACAGGAATTCTTCAGCACCAGAGCACAGATGCTCCCGTACTTTATCCAATTTTCATCACAGCATGAAAGCTGTTTTCAGTTTCCTGGATAGAGGAAATATGGCAATGGAACCTTCCAACGTTAGCCACACGTGGAGACTGAGAAAGAAGCTACCCACACTTGCCTTCCATCACTAACAGGTCACTAACAATTTCTGTGATTTATGCTGAAGCAATGAAAGACAACAGTGCACAAGCAAAATACAGAAGCGTGAAACACATCCCTTCTGAGACACAGAGGAAAATTCAGTCATAACAAGAGATTTATGGAGTTCAAAATAAGTTTAAATGCCAAATAACTAGATGCAAGGCAAGTCTCTCTCCTCCATTCCAAAGACCACTATTTTAAGGTTGCAGTAATCCAGCCTGGAGATATATTGCTTGCCAAAGGGACCTCACAAACATTCTTGCTTCTTCTATTACACCAGTAACAGTTTAGAGGCAGTGGGATAGAGTCTGGCAGCCAAATAATGACCTTTTGGCAACAAAATGGAGTTTATCTTGACTTAATGTTTGCTTTGATGACTACACAGCACTGCTTTTGCTGTGCAAATCCTTAATAAAAACTTTACAGCTCTAGCTTCAGTTAAACAATCTCTTGTCATGAGACTAGCATTAAGGAATTCTTGTCTTTCCTGCTTCTCAAAAGCATGAAGATGGCTTGTTTTCAGGTTATATCAGCTTATGAAGTAAGAAATCATTGACACTGGAATAAGCTTTGCAAGCAGGATCAGCTTTCAGGCATCTGACAGTGAGTATTTACTGCTACTTCACATAGATATAAAATTTTATATATGTTAATTGCAACAACCCACATTCAGCTGAATCATCAGAGGCAAATGGCTACATTATTTGAAAAACACTAATAAGAGCACCCCTTTTGTATGATTTCTAGATTGGGTCATACAGAGGTAAAAAATATTTTGATTCTATCTCCTTTTTCCTAGATGTCTGAAACAAGACTTACCAATACACATGAAAAGGCAAGAGTATTTATATGGCTTGTGGGAGAAGCTTTAACTCAATGGTTCTACTCAATAATTCATTGCTCATTTGAAAAAATACAACAATTATTAAATAAAAAAGAGCCAATCAGGATACCTTCCCACAAAAGTCTTCTGTGGATGGCAGAAGAAGATACCTGAACTACCCACAACTGAAGCTGAAGGTTTACTGGACTATCAACAAAGATTAAATAGATTAATTTAATATTGTAATTGGCAAGGTGGTGACAATCTGCAAATTGTTTCATGTTGCCAATACACACCTAGTTCAGCCTATGAAGTTTATGTGCATATTAAGAGATGAACAACCAGCTCAGTATTCTCACTGAAATAAATTGCATGTGGCAAGTCACTGAACCTTTCAAATCAATTGTAAAAAACAGAACTGAAATTTTTTCTCGTTTTTTTTTCCTTACAGCCCAGGAGGGGTAGGAGGAGGGGCAGTTGCCCACTGACAAGAAAAAACTCTGAACACCAAAGCACTGCAGGTGTCAAGCATACCTCTGGCCAGGAGCAATGGTACTGTCCCCTCTCCAGAGGAAGACACACAACCACCGGTATGCAATACCCCATGAGGGCTTACTGGTACCACCTGAACAATCCAGACTTGGCCCTTAGCAATGCAGCACTCTCTGCTTTGCCTGGGACACCAACAGTGTCACCTGGAGAACAGTACCACCGGCAAAAGCACCATGTCCCTGTCAGAGCTGATAGCTCCCACTGCCATACCAGACCTTATTTTGTGATGTAATATTGCCCACGAGGACACCCAGCTCAGAGAACTGATGTAACACGAAGACTAACAGGCAGAGTGAGGGATAACACATTCCCTTAGAAATCCTGAGAGAAGCAGGTCAGTCAAGCACATTCAAAGTACATACACAGTCTAAGATGCACAAGCAAATCACTGAACCAGAGTAACTGATCACAAGTATGGAAAAATATGGTAAAACTTACTTTAAGTCTCTTGAAGACTAAACCAGTACGTCCTAGCAGACATAAACCATGGTAATCAATTCACCAGCTGGACTCCAAATAGCAAATTCCTCCACGGGATTTGAGCTTTACGAGAGTCCAGCACTCCCTGCTCGATTTAGTAGGATAAATCAGCCTGAATGCTTTAACCATTACTGTCTTATCACATATAAGTGAGGACAGGGCATTGAATGCTAACAAATCAAAGGTGCTGAAGGTATATACAAAATTTATTTCAAGCCTACAACTACAGAGCTGACTGCTACAGAAAAGAAATTGTACCTTTGAGCTGCTTCCTAAACTCAGCAGATGACATACCTTTTTTCGAGATCTTTGATTTTCTCCCTTAGAGGTGCAACAGCCTGAAATAAAGGAAAAACATTTAATCTTTGAAGAATAAAACATGCACATAGGAAGTTACCTTGGAGCAAAAATCATGGCAAACAGTCTCTTTTGCAGATCTTTACTGAAGAGACTCCAAGAAACTTACATTTTAAAGCCCCCTTTATGTAGAAAATTCCTTGAACCTTTTCCACCAAAAAATCAAATCACCTAGAAAAGTGTGAAATTAAATCCCTTAGTTTACCACTCAAGGCTATGAGTACCATAGTCTTGACAAAGACATCCAATGTTATGATTCCTATTTGGCAAAATGAAGTCCTGAGTGACTTGTTGAGGTTGTAAAAGTTAATCTACATCCAGCAACAGAACAATGGGACAGTAATTTAAACATCAACTATTTAAATGGACAACAGATAAGCATACAGAGGATGCAGAGAGAAGAGCATTAGCTCCAGAAAATGACTGTAATTCTCTCAGAACATGCTATGCAAATTTAAAGGTACATCATTGTCATAGGGTAGCTTTGCCTTTAAGACACCACGACAATCATGTTTAAATATCTAAATATATTCTACATCATGATTTGAGGTTATATTTAGACCTAAGAAAATATTCAAAGGAAATCTGTTAGAAAACACCGTTTTCATTTTCACAGCTTTAGAAAAAAGAATCACTTTAGAAGAGAGAATCACTTAAGCTGGCATCAGTTTCAGTTTCTTTATCACAGGACCCAAATCTCTAACAGTCCTGCTGAATTTCAACAGGAGTCCCTGAACTCTTGTTTTTATGTTTACTAAAGCCTTGTCACAAAATATACCATCTTGGGCTATACTTAAGTTGAAAGCTGTCAGAGGTTCTAACTGGTACTAAGTGGCAGCACACCAGCAAACATCATTAATTCGTTTTATACAAATACTTCTGTTAGAGCTAGACAATTCAGGAGCTTCATAAAATGAATAAAGCTGCATATTCATGTTAAGAGGAAATAATATGGTGTTGTCATTTATATTCATTAAATATTTAGCTCTGTGGAACAGCAAGTAGTTCTTGAAAGAGTTGTATTTATTCTGATGGTGTAAGACATTATGCAACTTTAAAAATAAGATCCAGAAATGCCCAACTTCTCACATCTTACAGAAACTCTGATCTACACATTGAATTTCAAGTACTTCACCTTTCTTAAACAACTGGAATTTTCACAATGGTTGTTGCAACACTTACCAGATTTAAAAAAAAAAAAAGACAAACCAACCAAAAAAACAGAGAGAGGCATGCAAAAGACAAACTAAGAATACAAGCTCTCCATTGATTTTAAGCCATTTCAGTGGGGCTATTCACTGTGTCCAGAGGAACAACTGCTATATAAACCTACTGGAATACAAGACACTAGGCAGACCGAACCAGACTAGTACAGGAACACACACCCACACAAGGGTACGGGGTATCAACCTCAAGGACTTCTCTATTTAATACT